ATACTTTTAAAATGTATCTTGTGCCACAAAGAGATGATACACCTTGTGTTACACCTGTTGTTGTTACAGCAGGTAACTGCTACTCTAGTTTTTTAAATCTAGGTGCATCTTCTAACCAGTAAAATCACATGAGAAAATAGCTGACAGAAGAATCACATTTACTGTGCTGGACTGCTGCCTGATGCTTAGTTCATCTGACTAGATTCCCCATAAATTTATGTTTCAGCGAATTATTCAGTTTACAGGAGCATAACCATGATCCTTGGAGTGGATTTGGTAGTTTGATCTGCTTGAAAACATCTCTGAACTAATCAGAGGCACATTCTTTTTGGGTAGAGGAATTTGTGGCAGACCTTCCTGACCTTTCAGTGATAGATAGCAGAGATGTTTAGCATCCACACAGGTTCTGCTATTATGGTTATTCATTCAGCACTCACAGACTGAAATATCATAACAGAAGGAGTAACTTCTGCCTTAGTGAAGTTTGTAATGTATGACAACTCACAATTCATGTTGCATCTTTCTTTTTCAAATCCTGATGTGACCAAAGTAACTTTACTCATGGCAAACTCAGAAATGTCCCTTTCCTTCTTGTTTTTCTATTATAGATCTCGTTTTAAGTAATGAGTGCATTGACAGAAAAAAAAATGAAGCTAGAAACTTAAAACATGTACCCTGCTAAAGCAACAAACCCTGAAAGATCTTTTCCATGGGTCAGCTCTGTACTTTACTGAAGGGGAGTGGTAGCCGTAATTTTCCCAAATTGTGCCTGTTGGAATGCCAGAACCAAGCAAGAGTTTGTTTTCAGCAACTTTATAGGCCAAAATCAGATAATATGAGAACTCAGTTGCATATTTCTGGACATTTTCAGGATGGGAAAAACATAGCAAAGAAAGAGGAAAGGTGAGAATTTCCTCGACAGAATCTTCTGAGATGCTCTAGTGGTTTGGGAGAGTAGTTGTACTAAAAGTAATTTAAAAAGTTGCTTGGGCAGTTTTGAAAGCTAATCCTTATTTACTGGAGAGAAGAAAGTTAATTTTTCTAAAATCAGTTGTGAAATATAGTAACTTCTAGTTCAATTATAAGTGGGCAGAATCTGCATGAACAAGTACTCTTATTTTCTTCCAGGTTGCTGATGTGCAGTTTATAAGAGTGAATTCCTGCTATGTGTCACTGAAAATTCCAGTTTTCTGAGTAAAAGGTAGTACTCCACCACAGTTATACCCTTGTCCTACACCTTATTAGTAGGTGCTGGTAAGATACTGACATACCAACTTGGTGTTGTATGTTAAGTTTGTACTGACTTCAATAGGAGACTTTGCTGCTACTTGAGCTGATTACCATCGGAATAAAAATTTTAAACTTCACCTAGATTTGTTTCTTTTCTGATGCAAATTTGACTACTTTATTATCTTTGGCTACTTTCTCATCTTTAAGCACCTGCTTAAATCTTATCAAAGTTACCCTCAGCCTGCAGAAAGGGCCCTGGGGGTCCTGGTCGATGGCAAGTTGAATCTGAGCCAGCAGTGCCCTGGCAGCCAGGAGGGCCAACCCTGTCCTGGGGGCATCAGGCAAAGCATCACCAGCAGGTCGAGGGAGGGGATTGTCCTGCTCTGCTCTGACCTGGGGCAGCCTCACCTTGAATATTGTGTGCAGTTTGGGGCACCACAACGTAAGAAAGATATGAAGCTGTTAGAAAGCTGTCCAACGGAGGCAACGAGGATGGTGAAGGGTTTGGAGGGGAAGCTTTATGAGAAGTGACTGAGGGCACTTGGTCTGTTCAGCTGGAGGAGATTGAGGAGAGAGTTCATTGCAGTTACAACTTCCTTGTGAGGGGAGGAGGAGGGGCAGACACTGATCTCTGCTCTGTGGCGACCAGTGACAGGACCCAAGGGAATGGCCTGAAACTGAGTCAGGAGAGGTTTAGACTGGATATTAGAAAAAGGTTCTTCCCCCAAGGGTGGTTGGGCACTGAACAGGCTCCCCAGGGCAGTGGGCACAGCACCAAGCCTGACAGAGTTCAAGAAGTGTTTGGACAATAGTCTCAGGCACATGGTGTGAGTCTTGGGGTGTCCTATGCAGGACCAGGAGTTGTACTTGATGATCCTCATGGGTCCCTTCCAATTGTGGACATATTCTATGATAGACTCCCACACTCCCCCAACCTGCCCACAACTTCCTTTCAGGTAGTTGTAAGAGAACAAATAAGTTCTCCCCAAGCCTCCTTTTCTCATAGTTTTTTTAAGCACTTTTGGAATAGCCTCAACATTCTGTTCTCCAAACACCAATCTCGATCCTCGTTTGTTATGTGTTACTGTGACATCTTCAGTCCCTGCCACTAAGGAATTATAAATAAATAAATAAATAAATCTACCAACAAACCAACAAAAGCAAAAAACACGGTAAAAGAGACAACACAAAGCAATCTTACCAACCAAAAAAATTAAATTATTTTTCTACAACACACGTAAACTTACACTGCATCAAGTGGTTAAAGAAGGGTTGTCTCCTTAATTGTTTTCAAAGTAAGCACATGGCACAAAGGATCCCGTGGCTCCACCACTCCCCCCTGAAGAGAGGTCTTTGTCTCTCGGTCTGTTGACGCTGGGTGTTTTTTTTTTCCCTCCTCAAAGTATTCAAGTGTTGTTTATTTTCTCAGCCCCTAGAGCACAGCCCGCTTTCAGGCAAGACAATGCTCTGAAGGGCGCAGCCAGCCAGCCCCTTTCCTTCACGGGCGGGCAGACGACCCCGCAAGGAGCCTCCTCCTGCCTCCCGGCGCTCCCGGCACCGGGAGCCGCCGATTCCCTCCGTCCCGCCCGCTGTGCTCTGCCACGAGGGGTCACCAGAGGAACCCGCATCACCACGGAGGGACAGGGAAGTAAAAACATAGAGCAGCCCTTCCCCCCCCCCAACACACACACCGGCAAAAAACCCCTCAAACCAACCAACCAAACAAAAAAACCCCACCCCAAACCAACAAACCAAAGCAAAACAACAACGCGCACAAAACCCCCAAAACACACGCACACACACACAGAGGAAAAGAAATTAGCACAAACCGGCACCACCGTGCCTGACACGTTTTTCCTCTTTCCTGGCTCTCCACTAGGTGACAGCAGCGAAACCGGAGTGAAGCATCCCGTAATGGACTTCTGGAGAAAACTATTTTATCCTTTTTGCTAAACCCTCAGAGAGTAATGCAGTCGAGAGACTCGTATTATTGGCTGTTTTCCTGGAAATTACAGAGCCCTTTGCTTTTAGGCTTCCCGCCTGCAGGCCTCAATAATTTACAAAAGTACGTCTCTGCATTGTATGCACTTAAAGCAAATGTACTTGGGCTGGAACAAAGTCAAGTATTGTTGGTTTAATGCAAGTAGTTACTTCATAATGTCAGCGATTAGTCTTGTAAAATACTCCCAAGTTCTTACTTTCATAAGCTGTATGGGCCTGATCTTTCAGACAAGAATCTCCAGCTACACTGAAACTGCAGCAAGGCAGGAGGTTGAGTTCCCGTGTATATTTACACCAATGTCCAATTTTCTAACAGGGATACTAATTTCATGCATGTACATTTAAATGCTGCTACTCCTTTGCTGTTGGCTGCTCACCAGATTAAAGCAGTAAGCTCTTTTATCATGAATCCTTATGATAACCAGATAAACCAGTTATGGCACAAGCTAGACTAGGGTCCAAGTAGTTACAGCACAAACAAGAATCAAACATGGAGCAGATGAAAAGGAAGGAATTGAATGCACCTATCTGAAAGCAAATCCATCTTGACATGAGTTAAAGCACTGTAAATCTGCTATAAAGAGGGCACATTCTAGAATTCAGAGGGGACACTACAAACCCTCTATCTCGGTCCTAGTCCTGGCCTAATCCAGAGGGAGGTTTTTTTGTGGGACAAGAAGTAGAACTGATATAACCCCAATTTTCCAGCTTCTGTGCATCTGTGAGATTCTCTTGTGTGAGTAGGGGAAATCCCTTCATAGCTTCTTAGACACCAAATACAGAGGTATAAAGGGTTTGTAGCACCCAGAATATTTTTCAGAAAGGAAATAATTATTCAAAGTTCTTCTCTCCCTGTCCACTCACTTTTTATTTTGTCATTTTGTCTCATGTTTTCATTATTCTGAATTATTCTGAGGTGTATGAACTTAATTGTCTGTGTGCCCTTAACATTTAACTTTTTGTTTCTTTTATTTACAAACATAGCTTTTCATAGCCTGGCTCTATGACTTTAATGTTTTTAAAGTGTATTGTAATTCAAGTTTATATTCTAGTATTTCACCAATGTTGTTCCAGTTTTTGACATGTTAGATTAAAAAAGGGTTGTCACTCCATCTTTTGGGATAGCAGAGATGCTACATGTAGAAAAAAGGTCACATAGGGATGCAGAAACTCCGTCCTAGGTCTTAGGGAATTCTTTTCATAGAAACTCAGTCATCTGTTTTTTGTTTTTCTTCTCTGAAAACATGTAAGAAAACATTTATGCTTTTAGGCTACCTTTATACTAAATGCTGCATCATTGGAATAATACATTCAGTCACTAGGTAGGGTGTGAATTTTTGTTTTATAATTCTTTGTGATATCTTAAATGATGCTTTGTACTACTTTTCTATATTCTAAAAATAGCTATCATAAAAAGATGAAGGGGGTGTTTATTAGGACAAATAGTCAGCTAGTTTCTGTACATACAATATGTAACATACCACACATAATGACCTAAATGACTAGTCCAAAGAAGGCACTAATAAAAGTAGAATATTTATAGTTTTCTATTTAAATTATACCTGTAAGGAGACATTCAGCCATGTTCAGGGTATTTATCTCTTTTCAGGATTCCTGCTGCACAGGGATTTTCTAAAGTAGTGTTGTCAAACACATTATATTTGTGACCAAAAAAAAAAAAAAAAAGAATTCAAAAAAAAGAGGGGAGAGGAATACTTTAATAAAAATATTTATTGGAAAAAAATCCCCATCAGCATCATTTGGCTGTATTAAGTAAGTAAAACACTGAGTGTGACTATGGTAATTAGGATGCAAACAGCAAGTACTATGAGCAGGATGATTCGACAATATTTGGAATGCTTTTTTTCTCTCTCTTTCTTTTTTAACAAGGTATCATACCCAGGAGTATAAATATCCCCCATCCAGAACTGTAGATCATTAGGATTTTCCTAGAAAAAAAAATCAGAAAATAAACTCAGTTTCTCTCTGTTGCACATAAAGTCATTAGAACATACCCAGAAGTATTTTGGCTATCATCAGATACTGATTAATGAATTTAAGACATCACAGCACATATGTAAGACACTTTCACTTGAACGTAGGTTGTGCTACTTGCCAGATGCTGCGAATGTTCCACTGGGGAAAATTAAAACCACACTTTTCAGCCAGGAACCAAATGTAGGACACCAGCTATTGAAATGTGATCAAAAAACCTAGAACAGACCACGTTGTCTTCTCAGGAAGAGATGTCGTTGTATAAACACAGATCTCACTCTCTTTCCCAAAAGTGGAACAGCAGAAAAAAAGCTTACAAAAGTAATCCTAAAAGTGATTTGTGCCAACCCACAGGCAGGCAAGATCCTGCATAGTGTGGATGAGGCTCAGAAAATGTATGTAATTTGATAACAGAATTTTGCTATGAACAGTTATTAACGTGACTGTATAGTATTTAAGCACCATATTTATAGCTCTTCCCTATATAAACAGGGAAGCTGAGTTGCATAGTGTTGTGGTTTAAGACTTTCTTTAAGTCAGAGATCATGTTCTGCAGAGCTGAAATTCCTGGAGTCTCACCAGATGCACAGACTTCCTTTCCCGATCAGACTCACGTTGGTGTCATGTCTGTACCAAAAAAATACCTCCATATTTACTTCTGGAATTCCACCAAAAGGACCAAGCGGGCTGAACAGGCCTCACAGTGGTTCATGCATGCACAACACAGCCCACAGCAATCCACTTTGCTCCAGCTCAGCTCAGCAGTGCATTACCTTTATGTGGCTGGCCAAGTTAGAGTGCAGCGAGTGTCTGTCATAGTCCTGCACGGTCCAGGAAGGGGTCTTTTTCTTCTCCTCCCAGTCGTCATCCACCTGGATATCACTATACAATGGGTTTCTTTTGATGGTGGATTTCAGAGTGATGGGTGTAATGTGTTTCCCCAGGGCTTTGTCCATCATTTCTTGACTGACCCTGTTCAAGTCTAAGCCTGGCAGCTCAGTGACAGTTCTTTTTTCTCTCTGTAAGGCACAAGTTAGATCAGAAGCTGCCTTTATCTTCGTTTACCTACCCTTGCAGAATTAGCATTTATAATACAGCAGAATCCTCTTTAAAATTACACATGCAACAATTTTTCTCATTCTGGCAAACATATATAGTGCAGTAAAGGAGACCAACTGTTCACTTCGTGCAGATTTTTTCCTTCTGGGGAACGCAGGTGGGTGCAACATTAAGTTCCTTTGCAAGTGTGAACTGACATAATGCCTGCTGAAAGAAAGCTTCTGCTTTAGCAAAACAGTGCTATGGAGCACTACAGTACAACATGTAGTTCTGGTGAAAGCCACGGGTGTATGATGCAAAAGCAGAGCTGCAAGGACAAAGCAGAATGAAGCACAGGGGTAGCAGCATATAAATGACAGCCTCGAATGGAATTGCACCTCTGGCAGCAAGGATTTGATTCACAGTTCTGTTCATGCTGTTGAATGCTAGACTCATGTTAGGATGTCAAAGATGGTCCTTATTCAACTGAAAGTCCTTTTTTCGGGCACTGTCAGAACTCACAGGTAATTAAATATCTGAGCAGCCTCCCAGCCACAAAAAGTTGTTAAATCAGACCTTTTAGAACATGGGGGTGACAAGAGAAGAGGATGAACAACCCTAGTGGGATCACAGTTTTTGAGAACTTGCAAGCTGCTTCTTAAAACAGCATCAAGAACCTCTTTATGGGTCAGTTAGATAGTAGCTACCATATTTTTCAGTCTGTAATTGCATGGAGGAATGCAATCAGACTTTCCAACTCAGACTGTTCAACATTTTGGTTCACCACAACCTTCTGTCCACGAGACTTTGAATTAACCTGTCACTGATCTGGGGTTCCATCACGCATCAACTTCCTGAGAGACCTGCTCCTGACAGAGCCCTTGCCCTACACTAACACCCCTCCCATCTCTCGGGGCTGCTTCTACAGAACCACCACAGTGCAAATTCGTCCTTCCTCATTGGTGACGCTGCTTCCCCATCAGTTTGTCCTTACAAACTCCATGTTGAGACAAGGGGAGCCTTGGCCTGACCCAGTGGCCCTGTGTCAGGTGTGCTGAGCAGGGGGCAGTCCCCAGCCCTCTCCCACTTTCAGAAATCACAAGGGTCCGGGCAATGCCTGCTACAAGACTCACATGAGGTAAGTGCACATAATAAACAACCAGTGAGGAAGCTGGGTCCTGAGAAACTTACTTCCATTGAAGGATGTCTTTCCCAGAGTATTTCACTTTTATGGACATCTCCAGCTGTGAAATCACCACAGGTTGGACTTCAGCTGCAAAAGGGCTGGGAGCATGTCCTGCTTCTCCTGCCACCTCTCTGGTGGGAGCCCAGAGAATCTGACCTCCTGCACACTGGCTCTGGAAGCTGCTTGGATCCCACATCAGTCAGTGCAGGTCCCTGAGATGATAGCAAACTGCTGGCTTCTTCTGCTTGAGTAATTCTGTGCCCCCTTTTGCGCTGGTGAATCCACTTTCAGTGGAAGTCAGCCACTGCATGTCATCACCTACTTAATGACTGCAGTGTCTGTACATCCGTAGACACGTCTGGGGTGTCTGGGGCAGGCAGGTGAAGAAGGATCTGTGAGGAATGGTTTCCTTCAGAAAGTGAAGGTGGAGAAAACAAAACAACAGACTTTTTCTAAGAAACCCTGGGAGGAAGCATCATGCTGGCATTCGTATCACTAAATCCTGCAGAAGTGACTAAGCATGCTTCCCATCAATAATTGCCATTAGTAGGCGGGTGGATCCTCAGTGACCTCCTGTCCCTCTGTTAGTTCATAATTTCCACATGTTGTTCCTTAGCCTCCACATATCCCTTGACAATACTGCTCTTTGCATTGCAGTTACAGCTGGCACTGAAGCCCTCTGGGCTGTACTGGCCAGATTTCAGCTGAGCTGGTGTTTTTTAACTGCCTTTTCTTTCTGACTGCGTTTTATTTTATTTATTTTATTTCTTATTTAAAATTTGTTATTGACCTTAATGATTCTTCCCTCAGGCTTGCTAGATAGTTGAACTTGGAGAACATTTTGTCGAAGAACGCGAACTGTGTCACCAGGGGATGTTTAGTCTCCCTAGGCTAAAATGTTGTGAAAAGAATGTGACTTGACAGTAATTTCTAAAGCTGTTTTAAATAAAATTCTCTTCCAAACTTGGAAGAGATGGCATGATGCAAATGTTTTTCATAAAGAGAAGGCTTTGTGGCAAAACATTTTGCCCCTTCTTTTTGGAATACCTTTCTTTTCATAGGCATGAGAATAGAAGAATGTGGTAGTTTGGAGCAGAGGTAGAGAGGAAATAGCCTGGGACAGGGAACAGGGTTTTACCATGAGAACTGGACTGGAATTTAGGATAGGATATAATTTGCAGAAGTTTTAGAGAACAGACATTAAAGTGACAGGCTAATCGGGAGAATACATTAGAGTACAGACAGATGCTTGGTTGTAAAACTTGTGCAGTAAATATGTCCTAGAGACTGGTTAGGGAAAAGAAAGGACAGAAGCCTGAAGGACATAAAAAAAGTTTTAGGTCTAAGAAATCATACAGAGAATTATGAAGAAGATTGCATTAAACATATGCATGTATAGAAGCAGAGAAACATAAGATTAGATAATAAAAACATGCTTGCTAGTATTGATTCTTGCAAAAACTCCTTTTTATTTTCTGCTAAGATGTAAAACATGTCCCAACCACTGTCACAGACTTCTATGTTTTGATTCTGATTCATAAAGCAAATGTTCAAAGAAAGATGAAAGTATTGTAAATTTAGGTATTCGTTACAGAGTTCATATAATATACACTGATTCTAAGAAGTCAGTATGAATTAGGGTGGAACAGAACAAATCAGAGGCAATTTATGTTGTTATTTACTGAATGGAATGAAGGAACAGCAAATATTCAAGCACTAACTAGGAAGAACACTGAGAAACTATAGATGAAATGAGTTGACAAAATACACATTTAACAAGATGAAAAATGCTCACCTCTGCAAACACATAGCTGTGTTTGATCTACATATAGTTCATAAGCAAGAAAGCTGTTATGGTTTATAACTTGTGTTTCACTGAGAACAGTTTGTCCCTCTTTGACAGACTCAGAGAGCTGGCATGTACAAAATTAGGATTCTGTAAAAAGCCCAAAGATCAATAGAGAGTCAGTGTTAGTTGATTCCTGAACCGACATGTGCTTGCTCCACATTTTTTTCTTGCTGATTATTTCATAATGTGAATTAAGCATGTAGATGCATTACAATACATATAATTAAAATTATAATTTAACCTTTGTTACTAGGAAATATTTTAATCTCGTTTTTTTTCTTGACTTTATCCTTTCATTCTCTCTGCTGCTGTTGTTAGCACTGAAACAACCTAAGAACCTAACCACTCTTTCCTCGGCCTGTGATATGAGACATCACCCACCAAAAACAGGACATCAACAGTTAAGGCTAGGCCTTGGTTTCAAGCCTATCTACCTGAAAGAAGAGAACAGAGAGATACTTAAAAAAAATAAAGCAAATTTACTTGCTGGAATTCAAATTTTTCTTTCCTTGCCCACCGAAGAGAATCAGTTCCTCTTGTCTGGTGGCCAGCCCTGGTCTCCAGCTGATATTGGGAAAGATGCTCAATGAAGGAAAGAAATGCTGTTGATGGGCAGCTATACCTAGAAGTTTTAACCAAGGGAGGCTAAAGAAACCTATGGCCACTAGATATTGCAATGTTTGTTTTGTAACAGCCTCCTCAATCCTAGTGAAGGTGGGTAGCAGGGTGATTATTATATTTGATAGTAATTTGTTAAATACTATAACCCTCTGTTGTGCAAAAGATTTGTAACACATCCTGGAGGATTCTCCTAGCACTTGGAAGGGCATTTTTCTGCTTTAAAGACCTACTTTGAAGGGAGAAAAAGATCTGAAAGACAAAAAGTTCCTAGGGTGTAACCAAGCATCCCTGTGATAGTTGTAACAAGTGCACAGGTATTGCTAGACATTTGGACAATAAAAAAAGCTTATCTATTATGATGAATAATTATTAGCACTTTAGAATTATTTTCAACAAATCTGATCTCATAGAGGATGCTATGGAAAAGCAATTGGGTAGGCAAGGAGTAACCAGGTGTAGGTAAGGAGATATGAAAGACAGTAGGGCAGTGAGCTCACATAAGGATTCCTGAGAATGCAGAGTAAGTCCAGAGGAGGGCCATGAAGATGATCAGGGGGCTGGAGCACCTCTCCTATGAAAACAGGTTGAGAGAGCTGGGGTTGTTCAGCATGACGAAGAGAAGGCTACAGGGAGATCATGTAGCAGCCTTCCAGTACCTACAGGGAGCTGACAAGAAAGCTGGAGAGAGACTTTTTACAATGATAGGACAAGGGGAAATGGCTTTAAGCTGAAAGAGGGAAGGTTTAGATTAGATATTAGGAAGAAATTCTTCCCTCTGAGGATGATGAGACCCTGGCATAGGTTGCCCAGAGAAGCTGTGGATACCCCATCCCTGGATGTGTTCAAGGCTGGGCTGGATGGGGCTTTGAAGCCACCTGTTTTAGTGGAAGATGTCCCTGCCCATGGCAGGGGGGTTGGAACTAGGTGATCTTTAAGGTCCCTTCCAAGTCAAACCATTCTATAATTCTATGATTCTAGGAATGAAAGTTTTCTTATAGAAGGAAATGAAGGGATCTGGATTGTTTGTCAGAGTTATTAAGGCAGCCTCATGTACTACAAAGCAACCTGGGAAGTCACCTGACATGAATAGAAAAGAGATCAGTAGATGATTGTAACCACTTAAGCCAGTGTGACAGGGATGTTTAGAGAAAAGTAGGCAATCATATGGACTATTTTAATTGTGCACCATTGGGACTACTTCTATCCTTATAATGAATTGTTTCGTTTAAAAAATGTGTTTTATCTGTTGCCGGTAATGGAGTTCTGCAGGGTTGTGAGTGCATTACATAAAAACTTTTGTACAGTCTCAGACCAAAGCTCCTGCCAACCTTGCAGCTGGCTCTGATAGTGGCCAGTTGCAGATGTCTGGGGAAGAATAAGGGAGAGAGTGGAAATACATAATGCACATATGATCCAGAGGAAAAAGAAGTGACTCTAACCTATAGATAAAAAAACCCCTAACTTATGAATAAAAAAACCAAACCTCTCTTGTGCTGGTACAGTGAGGTACAAGCAAAGGCAGGACACAGGCATTAAGTGAGATGTAATACCTGCAGGCCAAAAGAGCACCGTGCCAAGAAGTAGCATGCTGCTCAAAGACTAAGTGCTCTGTGCTGTTTTCCAAAAATAGGGAAAAAAGGGAAATACAAGCAAGAAAGAGCAGTCTGAGAATTGCAGAAAATTACCAGGTTGAATAAAGGGTACACGTGCAACCTGGCTATCAGAAACAGATATAGGGGATTACCTGGTGTACACTGTGCATTAAAACATATTATGGGGCAGAGAGTCAACTGAGACTGGAAATTTTAAGGGTGATCAGAATGTGGTCAGCAATTATCCATTTGCAAGAGAAAGTCTGTGCTTTTTATGCTGCTTTTCACAAGGTAGGACCAAGATTCCTGGACTTCTTCATGGTTTGGTTTAGTCAAAGTAGTCTATGAAAATACATACTAAGCAGGGAAGCTGTTTAGTTTGCCTGATACCAAAGAGGAAAGTCCAGAGAAAAAGCAACAACTTTTTGTCTTTACATCAAACTTTGTTTTATAATGGAAACAAATTATAAAACTTATGGGTGAAGAAAACACATTGGCACTTAAGTGCATTTGAATTTAAGGGATCTCATAATAAAGGTCTGGAAAAGGACAAACACACCACTGAGGAGTCACTTTGCATGGGGAGTCCTGAGTAGCATTAGTTTCTTAAAAGCAAATTAGCTTTTAAGGGAGAATTTGGGCTACTCTCAAGGTTTAATGACTTTGGGAATCTTTAGATCATGCACATATGTTCTGAAATTAATTCTCCCTCCTCCACCCCCCCCTCCCCTTTTTCCGTTTCTGAATTAACTAACCCTTAACCTCATTGCTCTCTCATCTTAAAGGAAAATATGTTATTCCTGTGCCGTTAGTTCTCCACTGTGCCATTGTGTTTATTCTAGGGTCTGGAACTCATCAGTACTTTTCCCTTTATTTGATTGTCAGCAAAAGGGGGAAAAGGAGGTGAGCCCTTAAGGTGGAAAGAATAAGGCACAATGATTTTTATCTGAGCACCTTGAATTCACTAGTGACTACACTTTAAAAAAGTATAGGTTGCGTCCTAGGTTTAACATTCATAAAACATACCACATTGCAAACTCCCTTTCTGGAGACTTAGTGAGTACAGACATTTCCTTTGAAACAGCCATCCCGGGGCTGGGAACAGAGTTCCAGGAAAACCTTCTCGCTGGTGGCAAAGAGCAGAGCACAAGTCAGAAAGCACAGGGCTCCCCACACACTTTTAGTCCTCCCGCAGCTCTGCAGCCCTTGGCTCGGTGACAGTGCGTTCTGTTTGACAACAATGGGAAGAAGGATCCCTGCTGCGGAGGAGGCTCTGTGTGTGGCTGCCTCTATCCTGCACAAAATAGGGGCTTGGAGGGAAAGGGGGGTGAGGAGGGGGGGGGGGGAGTGTGGCCAGCTTTGCACCATACCCTATTGTTTGGGATCCTTCAGGCTCCGTCCCTCGGTTAGGGCTGTTTGCATGGGAGACTACAGGCGACCGCGTGTTCCCCCGCTCCAGCTCTCCCTGGGGAGTCGCCAACAAAGATTATACAACACGAGCAGAGATGGCTGGAGGCATTGGAGCAGGCAGAGGGAAGGGTGTCTGGGGTGGGGAAGAAGCTAGGGAAAGTAAAGCGAGCGGCAGGAGCGGGAGGACTTTTGCAAGTCCTCCTTTTGCAAGGAGGAGGACTGGAACGGACTCCGAGAGCGAGCAAAGGAGTTTGTGGAGCTGATGGGGAGAAATGTCTAAGAGGGGAGAAGTGCACCAGGAAGTAGCCGTGGGAGACTTTAAGCATCTTTCTTATCCCTTCCCCCAGGTTCACGGTTCCTTCGCTCCTACTCCTCATCCCCCTCGGGAATTTGACAGCCACCCTAAGCATCCTCAGGATGCAGACCCTTCACCACCCCCTCTACCCCCAACCACTTATGTATGTCTCCATCTCTTGACAAGAAACAGACCTTGGAGCTTTTGCTCATACTAGGGGTGGGGAAAGGCGAGGGGCTCCCCGAGCAGCAGGAAAGGAGCACTGTGGAGCAGCGAGTGGGGCCCAGAGGGGTGTGAGCTGATGCAGCTGTAGTGCTGCTGATCCAGACATGAACTTCTCCTCTGCCAGCTCCAGGGCCTCTGCTAGGCAATGCACATTTACATTTTTACCAAGAAATTGCTGCTACCTCTATATAATAACCTGGATTAATGCAGTCAGTGTGTTTCACACTTTCAACAGCTGTCTTTCTGTATAAGGGGAAGGTCAAAGTATAATGAGAAAAACAAGGCAAAATAAAAAGGAAGCTATGGTGAACATATATAAATTTGGAGCAAGAATCTCTAATGCTCTCTGCAGTGTGCCTTTTCATCCAGTTGGAGGGCTAAGGATATGATCTGACTTTCAATTTGAAGTATGTTTTTTTTCTTGCTTCTTCAGAGAGCGCATTCAGCGCGCCCTTTTAGTACAATTAATTGGTATTTGACTTCAGTAGACTCTTTGGGAAATTCTATAAAAATGTTGTAGAGCAGTAGGAAGCCTAATGTACTGAAATGAAGTCAGTGGTCCCCCTCCTGAAGAGAGTAACTCTTCTCGTGGAGCCTGATCCTCACTGAAGTCAATGGGAAAACTTCCAGGGATATTAGTGATGCAGATTAAGAGATGTATGAAGCTGAAACCACAGCTGATGTCTTAACCTCACAACGTTTGTGCCCTGATCCCTAAAACAAGGTAGAAAAATCAGGAAAAATGGCAGCCTCTTTTAGACCTTACCTGTAAATAGATTCTGTTGTGCCACCGCTGCACTCCAGGTAGAGCTGCATCTGGCAATTTTGCCCAGCTGGCTTTCAGACAGGTAGAGCTTTTCTCTAAAGACTTCACCTCCAGTTGCAGGAATTTATCGGGATGGTTGTTGTTTGGCAAAACAGAGAGGTCCATTTTTCTGTGCTGTAGAGTAACAACGAAAACAGCCTTACCCCAGCTTCTGCTTCCTGGCTGTGCATGCTCTTTCTATTATTAATGACGTGAAGAAGGATACGACAGTTTCCTGAAACTGTATCTGACCCCTGTTTGGTGTCAGGCTCACTTATATCATCTACCAATGATAAAAGATTGTTTAGAAGTGGCAGAGCAGACAGGACAAGTTTCTGTAAGTGCCTAGCTTAAGCTTTCAGGTTCAGAGTTTTTTTTGATAGATACATATGTGTTCATTAAAACTAACAGAGTACCAGTGAGGAGATGCATAAGACGCTTAAATGCATACCAGCACTTCCTCAAGTGATCTGCCAAAAATGCCAAGCCTACAATACTTCAAAGTAAGCTTTTTTTTTTTTCCCCAGAAAATTAGAAGCAGCTCCCAGTCCAAAGCAAGTCTTCCTTTTCTGTGGCAGTACCAAGAGGCTCCATTGTGCTGCGTGGGTTGGTACCATTTACCATGACAGCTACAACATGCACTTTTTTAAGTTTAGGGATTTCTTTCACAGTAAATTCTTCTTGACCCTGGGAAATATTAGATTGCTTCAAGTAATTGATAACAGAAGTTTTCAGGGAATTGATTCTGCTCCTGTTCAAGTGACTGGAAAAAACTGTTACTGACTTAAATGATGTAGTCTCAGTCCCTTCACTTCTATTATTTTATTTTGAGATTTGATATTTTCATCATCATTTTATGAGTCTTAAGTCCTTTTGACTTTCAGCTAATGAAGTTCCCCTCCTCACAATGGCTACTATGTACAACTAGCAAAAGTAGCCTTCTCCTTTTTATTTTAAGCTTTTCTTGAGACCTTTATGTTTCTCTAGGATATGTTTCATTTTTAACGACACTGCTGCAGAGGATAGGCTTTTGAAAGTTCATTGCTTGAAATCCAGGAAAACATGTTTTGGATCAAACTTGTGCTGAGAATTAGGGCATTGCAAAACTTTTAGTCTTTTACTTAGACCAGAGAATCGAACAAATCTATTTTCTGCACAGAAAATTGCTGGAATATAAAAAGAAAATAAAAATAGGAAAATGTTTTTTAAATCCTAATGTAATAAATGCTTATATATATATATATATGTACACATAAATTAAAATCCTTATCTACTTCAAAAACTCATGGTTTTTCCTTGCATGTATTTATTGGAGATTATTTTATGGCATATCCATTTAAAATTATTATTCTGGCGCCTTTCAAGTAGATGCTCAAGTAAGTACCTGTGAGCAGCCACAAAAGAGACAGTAGTGAGTGTGTTTCCAAGTGGATGTGCATGCTTCTGGGGAACCTGCTGCTACATTTACATCTATGTCTCCCCAGTGTAATGGACCTCAAAACACTAATACACCTTGCCAGTGTACTCTAGGGGATTACCATGAAGCTGCTGTTTTAGACTTGCCATGACATGTAGTTCTCGCTTTTTCCCTGTGCAGACAGTAATAATTTGTGTTTTAAAATAGGTGGGTATATATACAACCATGACTTCTTTCTTTAACATAGATAGACTTTCCAGCATCTCTCTAAACACAAGATTTTCTCTGTGCTACTGTAGCATATAATGTGGGTCTGCAACTGTGTGAATTTACATACCAACACTACTTTGATTAGACATGACATAAGAAGGTAAAAAAACACTTTATTAGGTCAGATCCCTCCTCCCCAGGATCTATCACCGTGTTTGAAAGGGAAAGAACCAATGGTGCTTAGGGAGACAGTGTACACCTGGCTACTTTCTGCAGTTCATTCTCCTTTTACTCCCTCAGAAGCCACACCATTTTTTTGTGCTTAAGTGTCTCTTCCCAGGCCTTTTATTATCTGTTTATAAACTCATGGTCCATAAATTGCTTTTCAGATCTTCTGGTACTACCTCCTCTAGAAGCAAGCTTCAGAACCTCATGACCATCTGCTTAAAGTGCTTTTACATCTTTTAAACTAATTTCCATACTAGTCATAGCGAGGATGCCCTCTTTGCAGTACTGCAGGATTTGAAGAAGAGCTCTCCACGTAGACTATCCACGCAGAATCTCCACGCAGGATTTTTTAAACCTCAACTGTGTTTAGTCTCTTCCTTTCCAGTCTGAAGTATCAGCTTTTTCAGTCTCATCTGGTAAGCCACCTAGTCTGTTCCCTTGCTCATTCTGTTTTCAGTGTGTTATGCTGTAATTCCACTACATTGTTCATGAGAGCACAACAAGCATAAATGAATGCAATGCTCAAGTCGTTCCAAAACAGTTACAAAAATGGGAAAAATTATGTCTTCTGACAACATGCAACAGTTTTTGGTATTCTCATAGAGCTAATAACTTCAGACCACAGTAACAAATTTTTCTTCACCTCTATGACTGCTAGTTGCAAGTTCAGTATCTTGTAGGAATAGTTTAGGCTATTTTCCATAGCTATAATACTTGACATTTTCCTACATCAAAATTTATCGGTCAATGTCTTGTCTAACTGCTCACTTTTTTGAATTTTTTCCCAAGTGAAGCAGCAGTCAGTTAACTAGAAGAGCTTAATGTCACCTGAAGAGCTGGAGAACTCAGTTTTCACTCTCTTTCTCATGCCGTGGATGAAAATGTGAAAAAACCTAAACCCTGCATTATTCTTTGGGGAACCATACTGCTGACTTCTCTTGTTTTTGTTTACTTTGGCTGAACACCAGGTATCTACTGGGCCTGCGCCCAGTCCCTCCAGAGGGAAGGTGAGGGGGGAAGTGGGGAAAAGAAGGGGAAAAAAACCCTACAGAATCGAAGCTGCTAAGAAAGGGTGTTTATATTTACACAAAGAGGGAAAATGTTATAAACGCTATACGCGCAAAGAAGAACTAAAAATAAAGATACTTCCCCACAGCTGATGCTTTTCCCCCCTGAAGGAACTGCCCGACCACTCCACTCAGCTACCTGGAAGAGAAGAGAAGAGAGCCCTTACTTCCTTCTCATCTTTTATGTCTGAGCTGACGTAACATAGTATGGAATATCTTATCGGTAAAATATACATCAAGTGATTTATCCTAATTCTGTTTCCCTCTCAGAGAGGGTAACAAACCCAATACAATCTCCACCCCTTATTCCATACTATTTTACGTCACACTCATATCCCATATGCGCCCATATCCCGCAATTATACAGGTCTGGTCTTCTACCTTGTCTCATCGTTGAGCACCAGCATCGGCTTAGTTCGAGTCTTCCTCATTTAGTGACTTTTCCTGCAACATACAACTCAGAATACGAATTAGTTTTTCCCCAAGGTTAAATCTCCTTGAGGCACTCACTGGGTTTCCCCATCTTCTCTCATTATCCACCAGGTGTATCCGGGTCCTTGAGCAAAGACAATCCCATGAATGGGTTTGCCTTTGCTTGAGGGAGGGTTAACTCAAACTTCTTTACCTAACATACCTCTCAAGTGAATCACTGGGACTTTGTCTCCATCCACAGTGTGAGGGGACTCTGCGGTGCCATGTTGCCACAGTACTTGCTTTGCAAGACCCAGAATGGTATTTCAGGCAGTTGCATGAGGCACCAGATAAGTCTCTAACCATCCAGTGGTTGCTTCCACCATGGTGAGCACATAGCATTTACCGTGGTGGGTCTGTTGCAGTGTGATATAATCAACCTGCCAAGCCTCTCCATATCTATACTTATCCCAATGTCCACCATACCACAGGGGCTTCACTCTTTTTCCTTGTTTAATGGCAGCACATGTCTCACAATCATGGATGACCTGGGAAATAATGTCCATAGTTAGATCCACCCCTCGGTCTTGCGCCCATCTATTAAGTGGCATCTCTGCCCTGATGGCATGAAGCATCATGTGCCCACAGAGCTAACAACAACTCTCCCTTATGCTGCCAATCTAGGTCGACTTGTGACACTGACTTGTGCAGCTCAGTCGGTTTGTTTGTTGTTGTGATGTTCCTCATTAGCTTGATTTTTGGGTACATGGGCATCTACATGGCAGACTCTCACAGTCACCTTCTCAATTCGAGTGGCAGTGTCTTGCCATAAATCAGCAGCCCAGATAGGTTTTCCTCTGCGCTTCCAATTGATCTTCTTCCACCGATCCAGTCACCCCCTCAGAGCATTGGCTATCACCCACGGGTTGGTGTAGAGGTAAAGCCTTGGCCATTTCTCTCAGTCAGCAATGTCCAGGGCTTTGAGTTCCGTGAACTGACTCCTTCCCCTTCAGTAGCTTCCGCCACTTGTCGGGTAGGACTCCATACAGCTGCTTTTCACTTCCGATTTTTCCCTACAATATATCAAGAACCATCAGCGAAGAGGGCATAACGTGTTTCTTCTTTGGCTAACTGATTGTATGGTGGAGCTTCCTCAGCCCGATCCACTTGTTCTTCTTCCTCATGGGCCAAACAGAAGTTTCCACCTTCAGGCCAATTCATTGTGATCTCTAAGATTCCAGGGCGATTCAAGAAGAGTCAAAAATAAAGATACTTCCCCACAACTGATGCTCTTCTCCCCCGAAGGAACTGCCTGACCGCTCTGCTCAGCTACTCAGAAGAGAGGAGAGCCCTTACTTCCTTCCCGTCTTTTATATCTGAGCTGACATAATATAGTATGGAATATCTTATTGGTAAAATATACATCAGGTGATCTATCCTAGTTCCGTTTCCCTCTCAGAGAGGGTAACAAACCTATTACACCTCTCCATCCTAAAAAATGACCAGTTTGCTTCCAATCCTTTAACCACCACAGAGGTTGCTCCTGTAGTTCTGTGTGAATGCAGCTTCTTGAATATCCTGTAATGAACTTTGTCAGAGACTTGTGTCCTCCAGACCCTCTTTGTTCAGGACACAACTGAAGCCATGCTGACACTCTCCTGAGTCCATGCTTATCCAGGTGCTCAGGGATCTTATTCTTTTTTATTGAGTATTACAGCACCAGGAAAGTAACTCAAGACTCCCTAATCTGTAGTTCAAAGGATTGCCTGGAGATCCCCTTTCCCATAGGCAGGAATTACGCTGCAGTCTGCCAGTCCTCTGGCAGAAATGACACTGTTTGGAATGACACCTTAGGCACCATGGCAAGTGGTTCTGTAATTTCCCAATTGTGTTCTTCCCAAATTCTCAGATGACTGCCACCCTAGAAACCTATTAGCATCGAACATATTTATTTGGTCGTACATTCCTGTGTCTTTTGTCCACCTTGATCCAGCTTCTCTGACATCTCTGCTACAAGGAATATGCAAGGTTGTTGCATATTTTATCTGGAAAGGCCAACACAACTAATTCACTGAACTTCCCTTTCATAGCTCTATCGTTCCTGACCGTCCCTTTCACGCTTGTGTTATCAAATGGACTCACTATCTCCCTGTCTGGCTTCCTGGCTTTGATGTATTTCAAGTTCCTTTCCTATTAGTTTGAGCATCTTTTCTATGGAGTTATTTAAATTCTGAGTGCTTCTAATTTTCTTTTTTTTACAATTGACCTGTTAGGCTCTAGGGCTGCCATTGGTCTCATGATGCAGGCAAGCTTTCAATTTTTGGTATATTTTAGAATAGGCAAATGGCTGCTTCTCTGTCACTGAAGATGACAACAAAAACTGAATGTGGCAATGTGATTAAAATTCATGTATTTCTTTAAGAAAGTTATAAGAAGTGGTAGGTATTGGAACTTCTGATCACTGCTGTAGCTAGCCAGCACATATGTGGGAAGAAGGAAGCCCACTGTGCACCAGCCTAGCACAAACCCTGTGTACCATTTAAATCCCACTTAATCCAACAAAATAGGGTCTAAGTGGGATTTAATTAGCGGAGAAACCTACAATAGCCCTTATGAGCTAGAGTGAATTTCACCTTTATGTGTTGGCTGAACTTGACTGATTTGACATTCATTAGTTGAAATTTTACATATTCATCAGGCTGGAAGGAAAACATATTAATGCAGAGGGATTGTTGACGAAGAAAAAAGAACAAATCCAAAAAAGCAAGTAAACTCCGGAATGTCTATGCCTGCATAAGGCTATGGCTCCTCTGAACACAGCTGGAAAGGGCTGCCTACTGCCACTCAGGTCTGTGGAAGGGCTGTGTAGGGCTGGCTGATGCATGCCCTCCCCACGGCGTGCTGTGGCTCAGGTCACAGGCTGGGCACATTCTCGGAAGGTTCTTATAATTTTCTGACAAAGGGGGTATTTCGGTCTGTGCTGTCCTGATTTCAGTGATTACATTTAAAAAGAATGTCATTTGACTATGCAACTTTAAATCCCTGAGTCCCAACCAAAAATATTTTCTTTTTATCATGTTGTTATAAAATGATTAGTTCAGCACAAGTCACAGATACAGGGAAAGTTAAAATGTACTTTTAAATTTTTGTGATTAAGCCAACAATTCCTGTTGGTGGAATATTCAAAATCAGCAGACCATAAACATTTAGAATAGTGAGGATGATATCAGTGGCTGATAAAAAAATTGTCCTCTGGCACCTAGTCTGGAGGTATCTTTTCTCTTGCTTGATTTTTAGTTGTCATTCAAGTGTGTGTGGAAGTATTAGGAAGATTGGGTGCTAAATATGAAGAAAATTTAAAATAATGATTGTTTCTTTTGCCTGCCAACTACAATAATTCTATTAGACTTTAGGAGTGATGCCCAAGAGCAAGTGAATTTTCTGTGCATTGAAGCTTTTTAATTATACAAAATATAGTATCACATTCCATGATGTCAGCGTTATTTTCCTTTCCTTCTTTATTTTTTAAAACCAGAAGATGTTTTATTTAAAATCATAAATTAGCACCTCATTAAAGTCGCAGTTTTTGAATTCACAGTAAGATGCCAAACCGAAGATTTTGATAGTACAGCTATTTTAAAGCACATATGTTGATTTCAACAGGAGTTAAGACTGCATCTAAGTATTTGAGTAGAAAATATGATGCCTTTCTGGCTTATTTATCCAGCTGTCTTGCCTTTAGGTTTTGCTCTCCTACATGTTTTCACAGCATAACTAAAGGCTTGCATTACAGAATGGAGGCAGAAGACCCACCAAGTTCAGTGGTGGATTTGTCTACCAGACACGGATACCCAAAAGAGGAAAGATTCAAATAACAAAAGGAGCTTTACTTTTTATTGAAAATGTAAAAATCATGTGAATCATGTACAATATTTTCTCATAAGGAAAATCTTAGCTGTTTCATAATGTTTCACAAAACTGTAAAACATTTAATTTTTATAAAGACTTTTTCATTAAACAAAGATAAAACTAAAGTAGAATTACAAAGCTATTTTCTAAATCATCTACAGAGAACTGAGAATGTTTAACAGATTAATTCATACAAGTGGCAAAAGAAAGGATTCTTCCATTTGTAAATCTGCAAGAGGACACACAAAGGTATAGAGGGGCATGGTTTTTTTTTTTTCAAAACTCAAGTGATGTGTTAAAACAGTACAGACATGGATTCATAGGATGGTATAAGTTCTAGGACTGTATTTCTCTACACTACCTCAAACAGTGCAACAGTGATTCAGTGTAAATCTCTACAGTGTTTCATTGATTCAATACTTGTGTTCAAGTATGTGTCCATGAGAATGATCAAAATCTCTACTTAAGCTATCTTAATTTTCTTGTTTATAATATGTTATAAGTTACAGTAGAATATCCCCTTCAGTATGTTTCTAAATCAAATGAACTAATTTCACAATACATTCTGTAATAAACTGTTCAATAATGTTAGCTTACTCACCTCAACATCTGTTGCAAAATACACAAGATCATTCTGACTCTGAATGTCAAAAATATAATAAAATTAAAAAGGGCTTTATTTCCATATACAACAAAACTATTCAGCTAAATTAAAATAAATTCAAGATAACATGACTTTTCTTTTTGCAACAGAGATGACCCTACTGAAAATAAACATTTAAAATACTAGTTACTATTTTTTTAAAAATTCTGATAATGCGTTCAAATGTGTTCATATAAAAATTAATTATGAAAATGTCAGAGGATAAAACATGTTGGCTGTCTAGCCAAAACCATTAAGGATGTCTGGCAGGCAAAAATAAATTAATTTGATTAAATTATATGTCATCTGATAATATTTGGTCTGAAAAAGCGTGTGTGTGTGTGTGTGTGTGTGTGTGTGTGTGTGTGTGTTTATAAATAATAATATTGCAAAGAGCTGAGAGCCAGCCAGCCTGACAGAGGTCAACTCTTTTGTTGCATTTTTTGCGCATAAAAGTCCCTGCACGTCTCACAGCATCGCTGATACCACCTCATGTCTTGGCAGAGGTTCTTCTCTCTTATCACTCTGCAGTACACAGGCCACTGGTCTCCCAGGCACTTGAATGTTAAAGCAGCTGTGAAACAACCAGAAAATCAAATATACATTGCTGTTGCATATATTAGTGAAGAATCAGGTAGCAAAGGAGACAAGGACAAAAGAAGTGTATCTGGAGAAGAGAAAGGGTAACGGATGTAGATATTAAATAAAAGAAACAACACCATCACCCCCCTTCCCTCGTCCTGTTGTCAATATGTTCAGCATCAAAATTTTTTAAGGCCAGCTTAATTTACAAATTAGAATAAGGTGCATTGAACTTAATTAGTTTAATGTCATGCAGTTGTCTCCTTATGAGTGAGCGAAGCCCATCTTCCTGCCCTGTTTCACTTATGGAAGCCTCTCAGAGAGCTTAGCATAGAAGGACTGTAGAACCAAATTTGGAACTTTGAACATTTAGTTTTTCAGGCTGTAGCACGTACACGGAATTAAAACGGAAAACCACTCAAAAATAGGGCAAAAGAACGAGATATCATCCAAAATCCATCATGAACACTGAACTGAAAAAAGAAATCAGTCTCAGATTTGAGCCACTCTCCTGTTTTAATAGAAGACAAACCGAGAGCGCACTTGTAGAAGAGCTGGTGGTGCAACCCCTATCAGCTTTTGTTAGCTCTACCCTCAAATCCAAAGGATCTCTGCTGCATAATATGAATGGAACTGGAGGCCAAAACTATCAATATGTTGAAGAGAAGCATTACATTATTTATTTTGGAGATGTTAATGTTTCTGTTGGATTTGATTCTGGCTCCATGCTGGATGACACTGACCTGTAGATTACTTACATCAGTGCTACATAATCCATTCCATGAGTGCAAATTAGCCCAATCTTTTTTTGTGTACTTCCCATCAAGTCAAATTTTAAGGAATCTGACACTGGTTTTTTTTTCTGTGAATCTTCTGATTCATGTTACTTCATGACACAAAGCTGCTTATACCTCACCAGAGGGAAAGTTGCAGTGATGGAGCGATGGCCTCCTGCTTCTGAGAGATCAGTTGAGCAAAGAATGATAAAGTACAAAGAAGAACTTTACAACAGTGAGAGGAGAGGGCCATGAGCTACAGCTGCCACCCCATCCAGCAAATTGAAACATCTACTACACAGAAATGTTTA